ACTCGGAAAAGCTGACATTCTGAGGCATGGAAAAGATGTCACACTTGTTGGCTGGGGGTAACACAAGTCCATGTGCTATTAGAGGTACTTAAAATAATGTAAATTTTTTTCTTTTTCTAAAACAATATTTTTGTTTAAAGGTAGCTGAACAGGCGAAAATGGATTTTAATGTCGATTGTGAAGTTATTGATTTTGGTTTCTATTTTGCCGTGGGATACTAATGCAATATGTACCGTAAGTATTTAAAATTTACATTTTTTTAAACAAGTTTAAATATTAATCATGAAAAATACTTCAGTCTGCGAAAAAAAACCGGGCGAGTTATAATTGCGCACGAGGCACCGTTAACACAGGGATTTGGCCCAGAACTAGCATCTTACATTCAAGAAAAGTGTTTTTTGTACCTATGAAGCTACCCGTAAAACGAGTGACTGGACGGGACACACCTTTTCCCCTCATGTCTTTTGAGCCTTTTTTATTTGCCTGATAAGGCACCGATGCTTGTCAGCTATAAGAGAAATTGTTAACTATTAAAACGAAGGTTTACACATCTAATGGCGGTTTTATGTCTGCATGATTTAGCTTACCACCAAAAAAAAATCGAAAAAGCAATCCGCATGATGTTTCAACCATATACACTATTAGAGATTGAACCGAAAGCATTTATATTTGAAATAATTCATGTTACTCGTTAAAAACCCAAATAAAACAAATGTTCTATTCAATATAAGTATTTGAATTTGATATAACTATTTTTAACTGTATATAATTAAACTAGAAAGAACGCCATAGTCGAGTTTCACGACTATTAGATACTCAGCTTAACAATTTTAAACCAAATATATCCCCACAAAACAATCGGGGTCTAGGTGGCGGCATCTGTCAAACTGCATTGCCAGAGCAGAGCTGCGGGCGTTCTACTCCCAGTCAATGAAGCGCGGGAAACCGAGTAACGCGCCAGCAATCCAGTGAAAAAGACTCAAGTCACAGTGATTTCAACCAGCATCCTTGGGACTACTGACGCAACCGCTGTACGAAATAACCCTTTTCGCGGGAGCTAGAGAACAGAGAACCCAGAGAGAAAAGAAACAACAGAGAACTCAGAGAGAATCAGAGTAACAGAATCAGAGTAACAGAGAATCAGAGTTGCAGAGAACCTACAGAAAATCCGAACAACAAAGAACCCAAAGTGAATCAGAGCAAAAGAGAACCCAGAGAGTTTCAGAACCCCAGAGTACCCAGAGAGAATCCCACTTGGCCACTAAACGAAGGCACCCCCACTAGACCAGAATTTCTACTTGATGCCGGTAGAACCTCAGCCATCTTCAAGGATACCAAGGAGCCGACCGCCACCAAAACCCTCGAACCATGGGTTAGCCAGTTTCTTGCTGAGGAATTGGCCAGGCTCGACGGACTGGCGTATCACATATCGCCGAGCACAATGCGAGTACACATCAATCAACGTTATTTTCCAAAGAATCACAATATTGATGACCTAATTGACGAGGTTTTACGAAACTATTGTATAGAACCCTCATGTAGTTCCCATCATGATACAATAACTAAAGGTAGTCTCGTCGGAAAAAATCTAGTACCTCTACAATCATAACAACGAGTGCCAGTGGAGAGGTGCTCAGCCTAGTAAGTGCAAGCGAAACAGCAATAGTGTGTGGATAACTTAATGCTTTTTTTTTAGAATTTAATTTTTAATAATTTTGAGTTGGATATAAGTCGTGGTTTTTGTATAGAAAGTTTTTTGTTAAGGTTCTTAATCCTAAAATTTATTTTAATCTTTAAATAGAATTTTTTAAAATTATCATTACAAAACCTAAAAATATTATTTCCAGCTGTTTAATGTGCACTCCGTGAAACACTTCATCCACGTAAGTGAACGTCCCATTGTCGGCCAACACATTTGCACTTTTGCATAACAACGCCCGCTATGATATCCAACGCGTCCTCTGTAACTACCATTGCAAAACATAGAGCTAAACATTTGACATTGTTAAAATCCAGTATTAACTATTGTTTTAATTTGTAATACCTGTTATATATTTTCTTAGCCCATACCTAAATTGAAGAGCAGTCGAATGGTCGCATTGTCCTCCCCTCGCCCGCATCGCGCCAAAAAATGGTTTCAATAATGTCTGGGTTAAGTCGACTTATTAATACGAAATCCATCTCGTTGTTTTTGAAAGATAGGCAAGTAGACCATTAAGAGTTGCTGACCAAAATTCCTTTCTGGTAGGGCAGCCTACGAGCTTGGTCAACTATGTCTGCACTCATAATTTCAGTCGTTTCAGTCAAAACGCTTCGTTGGATTTAACTTTATTCTCTAAACGGTTGTGTCGTTTCGATGGAGTTTGATGTTACCAATATGGAGTTGAACACATCGAACCAATCGTTGAAAACTTTAGCGATCCGTGGTTTCCAATGCATTCGTTAAACTCAAACCCAAACGCAAAGCATCGCCTAATGGAGCTCGTTGTTGTGTTGGAAAACAACAGTGTGGCCAATTTGACCTTTTTGTTTACTAGCCTACATTCATGAGATTTCGGTTACCTTGAAAATGATCTGAACAGCTGTTGCTCGTCAAAACGGAACGGCAGTCCTTTTTAATCCACCCCTTCAACGGATGGTGAAAGGTGGATTTATCTCTATGGAAATACGCTATAACGACTAACCCGGAGTCGATAGTAACCATT